AAACCAGACAACTGCTAGATTGTCATGCTTAAAACATTACTATTTCACATGATAGTTTATTAAATTATAGTTTACTCCTTATTATAGAGATTTTTAAGTGGTTATATCACACTAACAAATTATATGATCTACACCCATTATACAATTTGTATTTACTATTAATACAATATATGATAATATATTTGTATACTATTATAGATTGTTTTTGTCAATAGGATGGCTTATCTATATATAAAACTGAAGAGTTTGTTTTTTTGAATATATGAACGCGCTTATCTCAGCGACTACTGATACGAATTGAAAAATTAGTTTTGTGTTCGTGCGCTGTCTAATGGAAATGTAGAAAAAACACAGCTAGTATGTAAATGTGCATTGTCAATATTGGTGTTCAATATATAAATAATCGGTTCAGTAGTACGGACAATTTCAAATCATGTCATGAGATCGGAAGGTTTATATTAACGCAGATCGAGTATAGCAATTTATGCATCAGTATTTATATTAAAAAGAAGATTTTTGTGAAATTTGAGAGAACCATTTAGTATAGATTTTTTAACATTATTTTTCACTGCCCTACACAACTTCAGCTAAATGTATACCTATGGGAGTCAAACATGGAATATAATATGCTGTAGTTACAAATTACGTTTCCATCTCTAATAATTAGATCTCGCTCAATAACAGTATGCATTAATTCAACGCACTAATTAGGATTTCGTACTTTGTAATTTAGGCTATGTAGGGTAAATGCGTTAGTGGAGATTTTTAAAAGAGAGTCGGTGCATCTGTGGAACTAAATCACGCATAGATTTCAAACCTAAGATACAACCAGCTTTACGAACAACAAATTATTTCTACGGTATGGGTTTTTATTAACTTTTGCGTAATAGAGAGAAGTCTTCTAGCAGTGGGATATAGAAAGTATAAAATTTCACCGTACAAGCGTAAACAAATTATATATTCCGTGCACGTGAACTCGAGTAAAATTAATTCAGGCAAAATTCATTACCAATCTATTCATCAGACTGATAAGATAAATTGGTCTGACTATGGAGTGTGGAGGTTAATTTCATTTCTAATATATTCGAGGCTTTACTAATGGTCGATTCAGTGAATTCTATTGTGAGGGAATCTTGATATATTGTTTGGCCTTACGCGTCTTTATGAGTGTTAAAACTTTTTAAAGTTGAATTAAGACATTATATTATGACAGCAGTCTGTTTTTAAAGTTGCATGTATAGCAGGCAGGCATAGAATCTTATTAATTTAACGTATACGGCTATACTTGCAGAGGGGTAGTCTTTTAAAGGTGGTAAACTACTTCCTTAGTATATATCTAGTACGTTGTACTCTAAATATACATCAAAGTATACTAAATTAATGATGTATGTTAGTCTCATACTCATAATTAAAATAAATTGCTTTAAACGGTTTAAAACGCGAGATATATAAGTTAACTTATTTTAATTTATTGTAACAACGTCCCGACGTTTCGGATAATTTACACTTTACAGGAAGTGAGGGAGTTAAGTAACTGGTAAATTTAAAATTGGAATACAAGAAATTAGAGGTAACGATATTTTGTGTTTATTGTACCTAGGTATAGAAACTTCTTACTGTTCAAATATCTTTAATAAAAAAATATAACTACTTATAAGGAGTTTACTTAGTTACTTGTAAGCCCCATGATGTTACGTTAATTACACCTGATATAAGCAAATTTAAAAATACTTCCCAACTCAATGGAGTATACTTGCAGAACTCTCATGAAGTCCTGGTAACTTAAATAAGTTTTAATGAGCTTTGTTACTCTCGTCGCGGAAGAAAACGTCTTTCTTTTGACGCGTTTGTTGGTCTAACGGTGGCAATGTACGGCTGATAAATAAGGGATCGTAGGATCTAGGATTACCCCCACTGGATCCAACATGCTTCTAACCAATTTATAATTCTTCTGTAACACGTTTGACTTCGTCTAGAAATCTGGGTATGACATGACGAACTTTTGTCCGGGTCACGAACCACTGACCAAAATGTCGTTAAGTTGGATTGTGGATTTCCAAATATCCAAAGATAAATAAAATAGGTTTATTTATCTTGGATTAAGATGTTATATGGTTGGGGTTACATCTTCCATCATTTGAGCCATACTTGTCTATCAGCCCTTTTTTCATAAAAAATAATATTTCAATAAAACACTTTAAATTGTCTTAAACGCGAGGGACTCCCCGTGATCACAGCTGCTTCAAAGTATCCTATCGTTGAGCTGTAGTTAAATAATTTGTAAATAAGTTAATACATTTCGGGTTTTAAACCGTTAAAAGTATTTTATTTAAATGTGTACTACTCACGTAAACTACAGAAGGGTACTTAATATGGCTTTTACATGGACCCTATAAAAAAAGTGTATATGTATGTACGTTTCAGATATTAACTTAACTATTAATTTATCAAAATACCTGTACCTTATTTTATTTTAGCTCAATGGTCTATATTACCATCTTCGGTAGCGAAAAAGTATACAGTCTGTCAGACACAGTTATAGATACAGACTTAAAAAAAAATGCAAACTGAATTGAATACGAAAAACATTTCAAATATTTGTAACAGACGTCACAAACTGGAGTGGGTTTGTGACGTGGGTTTTTACCCCACTTGGCCATCGTTGCACATTTAGGTCTGCATTATGTCATATATGTTTATGTATCCTCATAATGTACTATATAGAAGTTTCCCAATTGGAAAATATTAAACGGCTGATAACGAAACATATTCCTAGATCCGCTTTCGGCGTCCCAAAAGTTAATTTCATAAGCCGCAGCATACTCGATAAGTATCGCTACTTCCGTTGCCATTAAAAGCTGAGAGGCTTTTTGTATCTCCCTCCCTGTTCTTGAATTAATAAGTCGTTCTTCAGCAGAGTCAATGCAAATGTTAATACGATTATGAAAATTTCTTGAACACGAAACATACCTTTTTCATTCAGTTACGTGTAACTCTATTACCTTTTTCGATTGGGGAGAGCATTGTCAACTGATCCAATTGCTTTAAATGAGATCGATTACTAAAACAAACTTGGGATATGTCAATATGTCTTGTTAGAATAAACGTAGATGGTTTTTAATGTAATTAAATACAAAATAGGTGTACAAATCAGAAGGGTCCATAAAAGTACTAGTTCCTTTTAAGGTATGCATACAATATAAAAATATAAATTTAGAATCTTTTGTTTTCAACTGAAGCGACGTTCATAAGGGCACCTATTTCCCATCGTGAATAAAGGATTTTTTACTTTGACTTTGTCTTACAATTGTCCCTTTTTATTTTCTTGTAATAGAAGACATTAAACGTCTTCCAATGTTAAAAAATACGTTTCGGATACGTAAATTTCGGACGCTTTGCAGCAGCCGTAGTCGGGCCGGGGTTGAAATAATTTGCAAATAAGTCTGTTTAATACATTTCGCGTTTTGGACCATTATTTTTGTTAAATTTTAAGAAAATAATTGTTTTATCTAAATGTGTACTACTTACATAAACTACTAAAGTACTTAATATGGCTAAATACTGTGTGTAGTTTACGCGAGTAGTACGCTCTTATATACTCTTAAACACTTTAACGGTTTAAAACGCGATGCATTTTAGTTAAACTTGTTTGAAAATTATTTTTAACTACGCGACGTATCAGATGTTTTGCAGTAGCCGTGGTCACGGGGAGACATAAATATATCGCGTTTTTAAACTAAATATGGCTTTTAGAATATACCTTTAGTTGAATAGAGTGCAAAGGTTTCAGCGAATAACACTAAAATACTTATCGAAAATAATTTATCAAAATACCTGTACTCTTAATCTATTTTAGCTCATCGCTATTACCATTCGTAATACCGAAAAAGTATACAGTCGCGGAAAAAAGGGACAAATAAGCAAAAAAATCTGCATACATCTGTATTGTGGACAAAAATACGCAATTAACGTTTTGTTTTGCTTAATGACATGTTTCGAGAATTAGAGCCACGAAAACATCCGAAAATAATTATTATGCAACTTAAATGTATTAAAATTAAATAAATAAACTATAATCTCTCTATTCGATTTTATAGAGGTTGACAGCGGTCGATGTTGTTGAGAGAGCTAAAATATATTCTTTTAGTAAAATAACTTTTCGACTTCACTGTACCTTGCTCCATTTCGGTCTTATTCATTGATCGTTTGAATGGAAGTGAAGCGAAAATAGACTGATAACATTGGTTTCTAAGCTAGACTTTATTGAATTCCAGACTTTATATGTTTCACTTTAGCCAAATCTATTTAAATTCGATTCGACCTTGAAGTAAATAATCTAGCTCTTAATAGAAAAGAAAATGAAATAAAAAGGTCTGAATAATAAAAATTTATAATATAAATTATATACTGGATGAAAAAAGTAATAGTTTAGGGTAGGTCCTATGACCTATCTAACGTCCCTTAGAAATAATGAAATATATACGTTGAGTTCATTTCAAATACTTTGCAACAGCCGAACTAACGGGGGACATCGTAACCCCGTTAACTAATACATTATGCGTTTTAATCCGAAAAAGTAATTTTTATGTGTACTACTCGGGTACACTACAGACAATTCATACTAATATTATAAATGCGAAAGTAACTCTGTCTGTCTAGTCTACCTGTCTGTCTGTCTATTTCTCTTTCACGCCGAAACTACTGAACGGATTTAAATGAAATTTGGTACACAGATGGTCTAGACCCCGAGACATATGATTTTTTATTGCGAAATGGGTATTGGGTAATGGGTAGAGTAGGAGTGACGTTAGGTAAGAGTATTGCCGCAAAGTAGCACTTACAACATAGATTGGCTGCGATAAATGCGCAATTACATAAATTAATAAACAGCCTATTTAATTAAAAATTCTACCCCAAGTCACTATTCCGCGCGAACGAAGTCGCGGGCACAGCTAGTACTTAATATTATCTTTTTCTTCTATGACTTTTGTTGTTTACAGGTGGTAGCAAGCGAGCAACTCGGCTCACTGTTGCTACGGCGATCGGTATATGGCTGTTAGCTGGTGCTATAGCTACGCCCGCGTATGTCGGATCCTATCTAAGAGAGTTCGTCGTGAATCCTACTAAAAAGGTGAGATGCAATATATATTATGTCAACAATGAAAATATCATAAGACTGTGCCTTGTGTTTTAGTATGACAGAATCTCGACTTCGACTAAAAAACACTTTCAACCCAATCTTCGAGAAAAGAAACGATATGAAATATCCACTTAGAAATATAGTTATATAAATAGATATAGAGAGAAAAGAAAGAGCTGTATAAATTCATGTTTTTTTTTTTAATAGTAGAAATCTATTCAAAGTTAAATTTAATAAAAGATACTAGTATCGTTTTGTATGAATCTAAAAGTGATTTGTGGACGTGATGGGGCGTGAGGCGAACACATTTTTGTGTTCGTTTCACTCATACGTTCTTTAACAGGCAAGCAGTTGTTTAGACTTCTGTGCCCTGCCCGACTGAAACAATTTTTTGTTTCCCTGCGTTTAACCATTTGGCTACAGAGACGATATAATATAATATTTAATACGATCACATATAAAATTGTAACCACAAAACCACCTCTCCTTTGGAAATTATATAATACTTCCTTCATATTAATATCAAGTTAACACTCTAGACTTGATCTAATCACATAAGGTTATGCTTATTATCTTCTTTCAAAACTTAGTATTACATCGCACCCATAAAAAGTCTTTAATTTTCTAATAATTATTTCAGGCTAAATAAAAAAGCTTCTTATGCCTATAATATTCTCTCAATATTAAATCAGAGCAACTTTTTACATAAGCGGCTTATAGATCCGCTTGAGTATAAGAACGAAAAAAATTAGTCATCGGCGTACATCGTAAACTTTTGGGAAATCAACGAGATGTGTATTAAAATTACTAATATTGTGGATTTTGGATTAAGCAGTCATTTTCAAATATACCTTCGTATACAAAGACCTTTGAACTATGTCAGAGACAATATAACTCTATGAATATTCGCATGTAGATAAAACTCCACCGCAAAAGGTAATTTACATAGATAAAAATGTATTCTTGCCCGACCTACGCCAATTTTACTGTAATAAATTCCGCGCGTACGTCGTGCAGTAGTTTGTGAAGGATTGAGCTCAATTTGATTTGAATTACTTAAGTTTTATTATTGTCTAGACGTAGCTCGGAATACAGATAGCAGTCACGTTACGGAATTAGCATTTGTGAGAAAACTTTATTGCTAATGTCTAATGTAACCTTGGTTACTTGTCAAATCATAAATCATATGTAACTTATATAAATATTTAGACTATTATACTAAGGAATTTTTAACTTACGCCTCAGTAAATTCAGCCTTACCAGGTAATAACAGATGGTTATGTAGTAAATTTACGACAGGCCTTCAAATACTTTTTCCAAAATAAACTTGTATTTTACTCGCCACCTTAAAATACATTAAAACCGACTTGGCTAAAGACAAAATCTGTTTTATTCTTAAACTTTTAGCGAGTGTTTTAAAACTTAAAGAAGAGATTGCTTGTCATATTGCTTTGAAAGATTATAGTTTATTCCAAGCCTTCATCAAGTAAACATATCGTTGTATGAGATTCTCTTTTTTTTATGACTTACTAAACATATAATTAAATCTCTTTCATTTGACTTTGAATTTATACCTAGTCCACGAGTATAACAAGTGTGTATTTGAAAATCATGAATGGATAGTTAATGTGTCCCTTTTGCCAGTTCCTCGTATGCTATCCGTACCCCGTGGAATGGGGGGAGAGTTACGCCCGCACGATGGTCCTCATGAAGTTTCTGGTATACTACTCGCTGCCCCTGGCAGTTATTGCACTTTTCTACATTCTGATGGCACGGCATCTCGTACTGAGCACACAAAACGTTCCAGGTGAAATGCAAGGGACACAACGGCAGGTTAGTGACTGTTAAGAAGTAGATAGCCTGGTAGCTAAGAGGGGGGAAGGGTGGGCTCAGATTATAAATTAAAAATTTACGTTATATAAAAAAAATTACGACACGGGCAGGACTTGAAGCGGTATTCTCAACGTTTAGTACTGTTTTTTACAAAATCAAAATTTTTAAAATCTTTTGATACATGTACCTCTCGTGAAATGTAATTTCAAATCTTGCGTATTTCAATGTCTAACACATTCTTATGTCTTATGCATTGCAGCTTAGAATTGTTATAGTTTTAAAACTTTAATATATTGCTCATGATGACTTTGCATATTATATACATTAAAAACCGAGTTGGTTGGTGGTATCCCCATAAATTTCTCAGTAGAATAAATTTTATGGGGATTTAATTAATACTTATTTTAGAGACATACTTAAATAATAGTTTTAATATAGTATTTTATAATGTGCTACGAAACAATGGCCTGAAAACAAAATCGAATTAGTTTTCTACACGATTTTTAGGTTAATGATAATCAATAATTAAATAAATGCAAATTAATTAAACTGAACAAAAAATCGAACAATATTAGGAATTAAAAATAAGTTTTTTTTAAAGCTAAGGATATTTTTAAATTAAGACCTTTAGGAAAATCAACTACTGAAGCAATCCGATTTTGTAGCTTAATATTCTACTTAAATTGGCAATAGAACCCACGACGCTAATGATATTTACAAACAATAGATGTTTGGGATAATGAAGAGAAATATACCTAATAAAGGAGTACATTAAGAATCGTGCCACGTAAATCGGAATTTTCGATGTCACACGTGTATCTTTATTACACGCTTCTAGCGATCACGTTTGGTATTATAAGGATTCTATCGAGGAACACGTTTTAACGACAAACTAAAGTCGAAGTATAACGTTACGTATAAAATAACGTAACGAACCCAAAGTCCTAGACGATTGTAAACGAAGTTATTTAACACTTCTATACCTAATTTAAAAAAAGATGTTTATTTGGAAATCGAAACTACGCGACGTAACTTCCAAATGACATTTGAAAGAACATTACTACTGTTTTTAGAAATCGGAATAGTTTTACAAGAACAAAACTGTTTAAAATCGTGTAAAATTTTTTTTTTTTTTAAAACCCCGGGGGGGGAACCCCCGGGGGCCCCCAAAAAAAAACCCCCCAAAAAAAACACCAAATGTGTTTTTTTTCCCAAAAAAACCAAAAAAAAAAAAAAAAAATTTTAAAAACCCCAAAAAAACCCCCCCCAATTTTTTTGCCCCCTTAAAAAAAAAAAAAACTTTTTGGGTCTCTATGACAAAATTCGAAATATTCATTTTCTATATTTTGGTACGCTCTTAAAGTTAGGGCTATAAATATACCAAGTTGTTTTATTTGCCTGCGAGTTATTACTTGGATAACAAAATGTTTAAAACCTAGAAAAAAATTGGGCGCTGTTGTTGGCTGCAGCGGACACAAAGAATTCGAAGTGTGGGTATTGTTGTTTAGAGATAAAAATAAACTCAAATAAAATATTTTGTATATTAGACCGTTTAAAGGGTAATCTAAAAATCAACCATTATAAAATATTGTGAATGGTTTACGTGAGTAGTAAATAAAAAAAAGTTTAAAACACATAAGTTAGGGTAAAGCTTCCTGGAAAGCGGCAGCCACCTTCTGCGAGCTGTTGATGCTGCAGAGGGAGGCGGCTGAAAAAGCAAGAGAGATGGCGTCTAATGACCCACTTCGAGCGGCGAGACGGGGATCAAGGAGGCGACGTTATCCGCACCGCCAAAATCATCGCTAATCTCGCTTCCGCCTTGTCTGAAATGGGCATTGGTGCTGGGAGGTTTGGACTTTTGGAGACGTATAAACGTGTTCCCAGGGCTCCCTCAATGAACCGTGGTGGGCTGTTATGTTTAATGGTTCTGGTCGGCTATACGATTTACCTCACTCCCACGTCACACTTACCCGACGTGGGCGTGCATTAGGCATTCACACCATCAATAAAAATAAAAAAAAGGGTAAAGCTTTCTGCTGTTGGCTGCAGCTAATAAAATTATTCGAAGCGTGGGTATAGTGGTATTGAAAGTTAAAAATAAATTCAAATAAGATATTTTCTATAATAGACTGTTTAAAGGGTAATCTTTCTTTTTTTGTGTATACTCGTGAACACAAGTCGGTAAAAATCTGACATTCGCGAACACAAGTCAATAAAGCTTCATCGATTCCCAGACCCTGAAACGCAATCACTCTCCTGAAGACTTTCCAAAGCAACGCTTAAGTATATTCGTGATTTTTACTGTGTTGTATTGTGAAAGATTCCAAAGTACTTTTTCATTAAGCCTTCGTGTCTTTTTGACAGCAATTCAAACTCCTTACAAGCGAGTAAGATTAAAATATATGTGTTTAGGATCCCCACGCCATATACAATGATAACTTAAAGGAAAATAAAACATTGTAATAAAAAATAGATTTGTTCAAAAACAACACAAGATTTACATTACTTTATTTATTTTACCAATATAAAATATTTATATTATTTACCTAAATACAGAAAAATTTAATTGTCTCTGAAAAGGATCCACTTTGTTAAGTTCTGTTCTATGTTTTCTATAACCCTTATCACTAAAACATTAACACGAAAATAATATAAATAAACAATAGCTAAACAAGTCATAATATACAAGAAAAATTTTGATTAAGTATAATACTTTCTACCACTACCAGATATACCTACAATCTCGTAGATAGGCGCTACGTACTATTACGGCCTTCCGATCTACTGATTTGATTTATAATAATTTTCAAACCTTAACGATATGAGTATATAATTTCATAATTATTATCTACTAGTATATTAGTCTTATCAATCAGATGTAAAAAAAAAAGTGAGGTATAAGACATTCGTGAATAAACTCTTTACAATTCTTAATTTTAAATATTGAAGCAAAACGCACGCAAAGTGGGTACAGATTAAAACAAATTTGCTTTATATTATTTCTAGTCAGTGAAACGCGACATTCTAATCAAGTTTGAAAGCTCTTTGGATGATATAACGCACTCTAACTTTTTGATAACGTCATAAGCGTGGAAGCTAGAGGAACCCGCTCATCCATTTAACGGTTGCTTTAATAACTCTAATTGAATTTACCTTGGCTACTTATAAATACCGACTTTCCATATTAAATAGAAGACATTAGAAATATTGCTCTATATGCTTAGAAAGTATCAATTCTCTATACTAATATATAAAGCTGAAAATTTTGTTTGTTTGAACGCGCTAATCTCGGGAACTACTGAATAATTATTTTTGTTGGTTAGAACATTTATCGACGAAGGCCAAGGCAAAAACATTGCTCCAACTAATAGAAGCAATGAAACAGCGGGAAATGTGGAGAAAACGCGGAAAATTATTCATCTTTGATAATTCAAAAAATATGTATAAAAAGAATGATACCTCTTTAAATTAACTTAAAAACAGACCGCGATACGACACGTCTATCTTTTAAGATTAACTTGCAAGAACGACGTAACGCAACCGACGTCGTGGGAAACAGCTTAAATGTATAAAGATGAAGAGGGTTTGGAAAAACTAATTTGTATGCCCAAAACAAGGATTCTACGGACGAAGTCGCTGGCACAGCTAGCATTATATGTTATTATTATACCTTTTGTTTTCTTGATCAATGAAAATGTTTTTCAATTATTTGGTCCAACGAAAGTTAAAAATAAGGTAGTTCTAACAATATCCACAAGACATTGTACAGATAAGATAATACTGTTATTGGGAAAATTAATCAGATCAACCAATACAAGGTGGCACAATATAATAGATACATTTCAAATGCCTTTTATCTTATCGCTCATGTAATAAAATAATATGCTTAGCGCAGAGGTTTTATAATATACGTTATTGGCACAGATAAAATATAATTCTATACCATAGATAATATTCAGCGTATTGGGTACATTGATCGTTAAAAAAAGGTTTAATAGGTTCTCCAAATGTTATTTACGTAAGCCTTTTCCAAGATAAACATTTAATTCGGGATAGCAACTTGATGAAAATAAGGCAGACCCTCTTAAGTCTGTTTAAATAATTTATTTGAACACATTTAGGTTGTACTAAGTTTCGTGTGTCTAGGTCATACGGATCCTTAGAGCTAGGGTTGGCACTTTAGTGTCCTAAATTGTTTCAATTTTATAGCTGTCGTATAATCTTATACATATATGTAATCTTACTGTTTAGTAAGTTCTGTAATTTTTATACTTTATACAGTTTTATTTCTTACCATCTATGTCAGCGACTTCGTCCGCGTAGAAGAGTTATTTTGATAATCCAAACTTGTTTTTGGCAAACCTTCTCCTTATCTTTATAAATTTTGGCTATTACCAACGACATCGGCCGCGTCTCGTCGCTAGCGACCCATCGTTCGCTCCCCATCGTTCTTGCAAGTTAATCTTAAAAGGTAGACATATACTGTCGCACACATTTTTTAGATTATTTATATAGAGGAATCATTTTTTATACATTTTTTTTGGGTACCCATAATGATGACTAGTTTTCCCACTTTTAATTGTTGTACATTTCTACAAGCAATGTATCCTCAGGGCAATGTTTTATAGCCTATAGTTGATTATTTCACTTAAGGAGAAAGGCCGAGGAAGGCCTCAATAAATACAATAACCAACTCAAAAATTCGAACCACTTCGAACTTCATTTGTTGGCAACCCTAATAAAATTTATTCAAGAAGATTCACGCGCCTAACAGTATAATAATCTCTTGAGTCTTGCAGGAGTTCCATGAAACCATTATTATGGAATAAGATTATTATTCTTAGCACCGAAACAAAAGTGAATGTTAACGTCGTCACTACAAAATGTGTACGTTTTGCGTAGTATTTGGCAAAAGTTTAAAGTTCCACTTGTGTATGGCAAAGGACATATTACTGAGTCTCTTTAACTGGACGAATTTAATAGCAAATAAATAAGTGTCCCCTGAGAAACAAATTTAGGAGAGCTGGCAAAGTAATGGAGCACAAATTATAATAGGGATGTTGACTATCTTTGGTTTAATAAGGTATTAAATTATACCTTATTTAACCCAAAAATTAAATATATATTTTGTAAACTCCTAAAAAGCCATAAAGCTGCTTAAGATCGAGTAAACTGTTAGTGGATTTCACAAAAAACACAGTAGGTATCTCTAAATTTAATAATTGCTGCGCAGTACCTCCGTATGAAAGAAATATTATTTTTCTTACTATGCTCCTAGTTCGGTATTTTTTTTTTATATCAATCAAACTATATTTTACATTTTTTTAGCAAAAACTACAAATTTGCATTCGAACAATATTTATTTTTTATTCCTGTTAACATTCCCCTTGTGCATAGTGATAAAAAAATATGCGATATTATAAAAATACCCCTTTAATTATTAAACAAGGAAAGCTTCTTTAAATAACTTCAGCTATAGCACTTTATTGTTATGTATAGTGGTGATCTACGAAATACGTGGAAATCTAGTGACACTGTACACTGACCGTAGATTTCCCAACAGACAGTAGGTAATGCATTTTCCTTTGCGGCAACCATTTGTGCATCTTATATTCAACAAACCTACGTTTACGATCTTGGTTTCCTCATAAAACTCTAGCTTTGTGTGAAAATGGCTGGATGATCATGGACCATTTTTAGTCCATAAATCATACTTAAATTACTTATTTATTTTGCGTTTCAACACGTTAAAAATTGATTTAAGAAACATATAAATATTTGGGATAGTAGTATATTCGCGCAAAAGTAACATTTAGCTCAACTAACTCTTACAGTATAACTCTCTAACGTCACTAATCACCAGGAATTCCTTAATATTCTAGCAGATCCGTATCCATACTTTTCTTAAATGAAAAGCGGTCTAGACCACAACAAAGTTTACTAGTTAAAAGTTCTTCATTCCTACATTAGCTTCTACCCTCTGAACAAGAATATATTGAATCTTGTCTTATATAAGGGATTTTTTCAGGAATAATTTAACTGTATTTTAAAAATGTTTGTATTCGGAAACATTGAATTTAAACACTTTATAAGTGGGGACGAAAACAACAAGACGTTGTAAAGCGTTTGTAAAGATGTGGTTCTATCACTCATAGATGGCTTAAACTGTTTTAATCAAACTTAGTTGGGTATGAGTAAAATAATATTCACTCATATTATTTATATATATAACAGAGATAAAATAATATGAATATGATCGGTGCATCATAGATACAGTGTAACAGTGTAGCTATCTATTATACTAATATATATAAGCTGAAGAGTTTGTTTGTGGGTTCGAATTAAATATTATTTTTGTGTTGGTTAGAACAATTATCGAGGAAGGTTATATACACATCGCGCTTTGACTAATAGAAGCGAAAATACAGCGTGAAAAGTGAACAAAACGGGGAAATTTTCATCTCTGTGGATTCCAGGTGCGTACGCTGCGAAAATGGTTAAAGAAAACAAAAAAATGTGTATAAAAGAATTATTCCTATTTAAATGATTAAAAAGTCCGCGACGCTATATATATCTATCTTCTAAGAGTTACTTGTACGAACGACGGGAAGGTACGCGATCGACGTCGTGGGTAGCTTAAGTTTATAAAGAACTTATTTGGATGAACACAATACATACTCTTAGCGAACGAAGTCGCTGGCACAGCTAGTGTCCTAATAAAGTTTTAGTCTTATAAATAGTATAGTAATCGTAGTATCAAGTTTATAACGCTTCGCGATCTCAATCAAGTTTGTATTTCAGATGCGGGCTAGAAGGAAAGTTGCTCTGACAGTTCTCGCTTTTGTCGTAGTTTTCGCGGCATGTTTCCTTCCGACACACGTCTTTATGATGTGGTTTTACTATTGGTGAGTATGCTTTACTGTTAATAGCATTTTATATCAACGAACAGTGTATTTTTTGATGAAAGGCCATAAGTATGGCCAATTTAAAACCATAAAGACCTGAACTTTTATAGAGCGTAGTTGATGCCACAGATAACACAGGGATAAACATTAAAGAATCAAAATTAAATTACTTTTATTATTTTTTTGTGTCATTATTATTTAATTCGACGTTGCAAAAGCTTTGCAGCGAGCGTGCATGAGTCTGTCATCCTCTTTCTATTAAGTTATGTAAATTTGTAAAGAAATTTAAATCTGTCCATTTACGTAAATTAATTTTTTATGATTTTTATTTGTGAGATAATGTGAATAACATGTAAATCGTGTTATTGTTATTTAAAAATCTTTATTTAGAAAAAATACACTATAGATACTATAATACATATAACGGTAATTCTCTGAAAAAACATGCATTTAGTTTTTCCAATATTTATTTCAATTGTACACTATGACATATATTACTTTAGCATGCATCGCTTGAAACTTTTTTATACGTTAGTGCAGATGCTTGTATGGATTTAATTTTGTCTTCTATTTAAATCTATCGCCTATATGTTTACAGCCCCACAGCCCAAGAAGATTTTAACGCGTGGTGGTCAGCCCTGCGCATCGTTGGCTTCTGTCTTTCATTCTTGAATAGCTGTGTCAACCCTATTGCACTCTACTGCACCAGCGGTATATTTAGAAAGCATTTTAACAGGTATTTATTTTAGTTATTAATTAGGTACTTCATTGCAAATATGATTCAACTTTAAATTAAAGAATCCATGTTAATACAAGACAGTGTGTAAAAAATGTAGAAATTTAAGTGTCCTTGACGTCAAAAATACTTCATGGTATAATGATTATAACCACAGATAAAATAATATCTTCAATAAACTTTGTTACGTTCTCATAGTATTAGAAGTAAAAAACAAACACCCCCCCATTAATTTCCAAACGTTTTATAAACATTCCAATTTCCACTTGAAATATAGCTCTAAAATCTTTTGTGATATTCCGCGGGCAATAAATTTTATCGTTGGAACATTAAACTGTTGGTTTTGACACGGTTTTATTGGACTTCCATTAATATATGTTTCCCTGGAATCGTTATTTGATGTCACTTTCTCTTATTTCTTCGTATACTCCAAGTATTGTCACTAGTACTTTTGATACATTACGCGTACGAACGAATGACGTGATTTTTTCCGATTTTTCTTTTCATTCTGCTCTCTCTTCATAACATAACTCTAGCTGTAGTACCCCACCAAAAATAACATTACCAATCTCAGTGGTCTTTCTATAACAACTAAGGATCCTTATCTTTTTAGCTTTTATGTATGTCCATTTATTTTCATTCTAAAACAAAGTCATATAGTAGTATGTTATTTTGTTCCTATAGGTACTTATTCTGCCGAACGACATCTGCTCATGGCACGAGAGGGTCACTTTCGTTGTCAACATCAAGAAGGCTGCATTCCAGCAGAAAGACTAATATCAGCATGGTTCCGCGGACGTAAGTTTTATATTTATATATAAGGTCAACATTGTCAAAATAATATCGATTAATAGTAAAGTCATATATCAGAACAGAAATGTACAGACCCATACCCCAGAGAGGGCTCTAGGGAGAGCTTATTTCTATGTTCGTTTAACTGACTCGTAGTTGATCAGACTTCAGTGCAATGCCTGAACAAAACAATTTATCGTTTCCTCGGGATTAAACCCATGACATTGGCATTGCACGTTTTATAGTACATAAATCCGTCATCAACTCGAAGATTTTCTATGGCTTTCAGAGATAACGCGGCATGAGGCAGATTATTCTGCTTCCCTATTGTTCCAAATTTAAATCTGATTTGTTTCCGAAGTTATTTATTTGGACGTGAATAAATTTATTTACGAATAAAGACTCCTATTGGCCACCGGCCGTTGAGTAATTAAATGCTGAGGGAAAATGTTCTTTTGTTTATTAAATTGAATTTCTTTAATTGAAAAGGCTATTAATTTGTTTATTGTTTTCAAACCAAATATGGACGAATGAGCCCATTAAGGAAAACAGTATTTTCACTATAAATCATTCATTGAACAAACCTCAATCGGTTTTCATGGAATACATTTTCGTTGCAATAAAATAATAAATTTTTAAAAATCTTTTTGAAATCATACAATGTTTATTTTCGATATACGTTCATCTCTTTTCACAGATAATAATTTTTGTATTATGTTATTATATATTATCATTTCTTGCAATTTTTATCATAACGAATAAATATTGGATATAGATACATACTTATTATATATAAGATTAGAATCTTTAATCATACATGTAAATATAGTCTGCATAACTAATATCTATTGTCTAAGTGTAGTCCTCAGTTATTTTTATGACAATGCCTTTCGATTTCTAATCTATATTCTCAGCCACAGACCATTACAATTCTTCGTCACGTAGCTCGCTAACATCTGTTTACGTCACGCGCACACTGTGTTGGAGATTTCCTTTCAAGGACTGAATTCTTTATGGCGCCAACCCCGACTGACGTTAATTAAAAGTGTATTGGATACGACTTATAATGATGTGCGATCGGATAATTTACTAAAACACTAAGCATTCACAGGCAGAGGAGATCCAAGTACCATCAATATTATAATAAAGACGACATTTAATCACTTCTACAGACTATGTATTACTACTTTCGATATTTCTCCCATCTCCAAAACGTTCAGATTTTGTAGATGACAGCGATAAATACTGCACTGTAGCAACTAGCCCTCTAAAGATTGCATTAGGAAACCTATAAATTGTTTAATTAGTTCATAAATTTATAATTGGAATGATTAATTTTCTTGAAGTAATAATTTATTTTAAGTTTTCTCTTTGGTGTCGTTAATTACCAAGTTTTCTATGAAACTTTGCGGTACGAATAAATAATTACCACGTGTAACTTGACTCTTATTGGTTTCCTAGATGGAAGTCTTTCTGTGGAAACTAGTTTGTGACGCCACGTAACTTCTCTAAAATATTCTGTAATTATGATATCCTAAGCGTTATATAATATAATTATAGTTATACTATAAAGCTGTGTTCATTTAATCGAACTTAAGGCAAAAATAATGTCTATACTATATGAGATAATAAATAAGTAATTTTAATCACCTTTTCCTTCAATTTATTTGTTTAAATTAAAAATCGTATAATCAACATATTTTCTGTAACTAATATAACATGAAGATGGTTTGGACTTAAACTTTTATAGGAGCAAGCGTAAAATTAAAAAGCATAAAAAAATAAGAGTTAGTTCCGTCTTTTCTAAGCTTTAACGAAACTAAGAACACAACTTTTTATATTTTCTTAATAATAATATCTAGAACGACTTTAGAAGAGTTAAATTAATATGACTTAGTTTTATAATCGCGATTAAAACAAAACAAGCAGTAAATTAGGTTCATTATTATCATATGAACAATAATGGTAATACATAATTGGAAACGTCCATTTATTAAAGTCTCTTTCTTTTCAGAACTAGTGTGGGTAGAGAGAGCAGCATTCGTCTTCTGAATAACGGATCTTCAAAACTTTGAGACAGGCGCCGTTCGCGTTGTCTAGCGAACAATAATCAAGAATTACATACTAAGATGTAAAATACTGCAAATACACTCGCTTCGAACAAAGAAATCGGCATATACGAAGATATCTATAACTTCATAAAGAAGTTAGCCTACCTTCACCTCTGAACCTAAATTACCAAAACAATATAACCTACATATAAATGTCGATTAGTACATTTTACTATCCGTCCTTTGCATGACTATTGAATCCATATAGATTGAATGTTTACAGCGTGAGACAAATCTGATTATCTTCTTAGACTTCCACCATCGTAATCAGAAGAGTTAAGCAAAATGAATCCATAGACTACAACAAAAATATAAAAACATTTTAATTTTACGTTACTACTAATTATAAAATGCATACATCGATAGGAGACACTAGTAGGAAGAAAATATTGAAGGAAATTAAAAAGTTAACTTATATCCGTTGGATTACCGTCATCTATCAAAAACCAATACAAACTATAAGTTTGTAGTTAAGATAACTCTGTAACTTCGGTGAACCTGTCAAATAACTCATAAAGCTTAATGTCGCAAAAAGATGGTGCGTATGTCAAGAAATCTTCCTCCTCTTTGTAAATCCTTTCATATTTTCCTCATACACTACGATGTCACTTATATATCTCTTAGATATAGGTTCTCTACATCGCCATTCTTAAGGAGGACGGGTATTTCTTTGCCATTTTCACTAATCGAACTTTATTAACAGACAAGTAGTTGATCAAACTTCTGTGCCCTTACCTGCTGTTGCTTCGGGACTTGAACTGCTAACCTCGTTTTTTGAAATCCTCGTGAACTACAAATGCAACTGGTAAGAGATTAAAAACAACAAACGGGGTACAATTTAAATAATACAGAATAATACAGTCGTTTGATAAAGGACTCCCATAAAGACTTTCATGATTCCCTGTCGTGATAAACATGAGTGCAAATCAGCAGGCCTATTTTTAAATTTTTCCTAATAACTAAAACAAAGAATGTGCTTTATCCACACTTTCATAATATAGCTTCCCTTTTTAAATGACGAATCTATACTAATATTATAATGCGAAAATAACTCTGTCTGTCTGTCCGCTTTAACTCTGAAACTACTAAACTATTTAATAAATTTTTTAACAGATATTTTAAGCTGAAAAGGACATAGGCTATTTTTAATAGTTTGGATGTATGGAAATGGTTGTGGTTTTTGAACAATGAAACTTTCTTCTTTGGCTTTTTGGGAATAGGAGTGGGAGTGGGAATGGGAGTGAGTGTAGGAATGAGAGTGGGAGTTAGAGTAGGAGTAATGTGAGGTGAGAGTGTTGCGGCAAAATATCACTTACAACATAGATTGGCCGCCTTAAATGCGCCCTAATTAATAAACAGTCTAAATAATTAAAAATTAGAAACTAGTCTGCAGTTTACGCGAGTAGTACCCATTTTTAGAAAAATACGTTCACGGTTTAAAACGCGATATATTACTTGAAACTTATTTGAAAATGATTATTAACTTCGGCTCGACATTTCGGATGCTTTGCAGCAGCCGTGGTCCATAGTCTCCCTGTGACCAAAGCCGTTAAAGTGTTTTATTTAAATGTGTACTACTCGCGTAAACTATAGACAGTATTTAATTCTACCCCAAATCACTAATCCACGGGGGCACAGCTAGTATTACATGTAATGCTTAAATATATATTTTCCATTTAAAATGTCGTACTCTACGCAATATTGTTAGTGGCACCAAATTAAAAGCACTTTGAGGATTGAAGCGAGAGTTGGACATTGTTTGAACAATGGACGAATGCTGTGGTCAAAGGGGTATGAACTTTGTCGAAACGAACATAGATTAATGACCAGTGAACTTACTTTTGAAGCAAGGACACTAAGTGAACTTTAATTATAAATAAAGTAAGGGTTATATTAAATATTTGAATAAATTAATGAAAATTATGGTAAGGGCGGTGTCTGATGTACTACATACAATTGCATACACGCCTGTGTCATAGATTTTTCAAGTATTGTGTATCATGTAAAATATTTACGAAATTATAGTATTATATACTAAATTATTTTTCAAATAACACGGCACGTAGTGATCACCAAAAATCTATAACTTATCCTAAATCCTTGCATTACTTCGATTAGTCCAAGAATTGAAATTTGTCTTAAAATATTCGAGCGCGAGGAGAATTTTTGCAATTTTGGATTGCGATTAGTTATTAATTTTGGTAAAAATTTGTACAGAATTTTTCTTTGCATCACGGTTAGAATCGGCAACTTATCTTGTAATTATTAATAAGTAGTATGTAGCTATTACTTGTTAAACATTGTAGGACTAAATTATAGGGTAATTTTTCTGTACTTTAGAAACTAATGTAATTTTATAAGAAGATTATTTTTAATTTACTAAAGTTTGACATGTTTTTACTATGAATTGCCGCACATGCGGATCTATTTATCAGAAATGTTATATGTAAATATTTTAAATAACAATAAGCTGTAATGTAATATAAGTGATTGTTGTAGAAAAGATCATAATTGTTTGTTATTTTTACACTTGCTTAGTTATGTTATTTACAATAGATCATAATTGTTTAAGTAGATCAAAAGTACTTTATTTGTAAATATATTATACTCTGTACAAATTCTTGTAAATAACAGTTAAATATGTACTAATAAGTTGAATAAACATTGCGTTTGTAAATGGCAACTTTCAAATTTTCCCATTAAACTTCGCAGCTCCGTTTCATCAAAACATCAACTTTGTACTCGAAATTTTCGTCAAAAACGTTCTTAGAATTTAATTTCATTGGCAATTTAAGATGTTTAAAACTGTGAAAGATGTTATTTAAAGTTTGTTTCGTATTTAGAGTAGTCACAAAGAGCTGGGCCAATGCATTAGGATGACGTTAATGTTTGATTAAACTTATATAATTTAGTAAATTACCCACATATTGTATGTACATAATAAAAGAAGACATTCGATTTCAGTGGCCGTGATAATCACAAAAATTACCGCATATGAGTGATATATTTTGAGAGTGGAATAAAAACACAAAACAATATTACAAATCCCACAAAACGGACGGCAGAATAATATTAAAAGAACTTATATAACAAGTTAAAGATACCCTTTGTTAAGATAAAGATACATTAACGATATGGCTTATAGCCAACCTTTTGGGTGGCAAGCGTTTTTAAGTACGTATAAAGCTTGACCATATCTATGATTTAATACAAGGGATATTATACTACAGCAACAGGACCATGGCGCAAGACGAAAAGTGCTACTAAAAAGACCAGGTGCTCAGTTGTTTAGAAGGAAACCCTAAAAACAAATGTGTGTCCTCTCGAATACTTGCTATAAAAATTCCACAGGGTCCGGGATACTGCATTAACATAAGAAAGGTTTTAAATTTAAATCTTACTTATTAAAATTATTTAATATCCATTTAAATATCAATTTTTTCATTTGTTTACTGTACGAATATTTAATGGCATATTAATATTGTAAAAGTTACGGATACAGTAATATTGTATTAAGTTACTCTACGTTATGTACAAAATAAATGTCAAGAATTAAAAGGTTTTTAATTTTGTTATATATTTTAATAGCGTCGGCAACGACATCTTTCACTTAAGGTCCTTATCTTCGAATATATTTTAGGAGTAAACGTTTTATTCCTCTTATAATCCAAAATGTATGCTGAAAAGAGAATGGCTTCTTTGCTTGACACAAAACCACTCCTTATGTATGTATGGATTTCCTTCTATGTATCAACGTGATTGACAAGGGTAAGAATATATTTTTGACCCAGATCATATCCTATACTACTATTATGACCTAGACATTATAGTTAAAAGAGTCAGAATAACCTTACCTAATTTAAAAAAAATAAATAACCCAAGTTTTGATGGGTAATACCATTTATCGGTATGTATTTACAATTATGTTAATATAAAATACGCGTAGATACGTCTGTAGGTGTTGTCCGTGATACATCAAATACGGGGATCATAAACCCCCTTGTTAAAAGCAGGTTTTTTAATATTTCTCAATAAAAACCTTAATTAAAACCATAATAAAAGGCACACATTAGTTTACGCAAATAAAAGTGAAATCCCGTTTCCCCCTCGTGGGGCATGGGGCAAACACATTTCTGAGTCCGTTACACTGATCCACTCTTTAACAGGCAAGTAGTGGACTAGACTTCTGTGCCCTGCCTGACCGAAACAATTGTTTGTTTCCTTAACTAGGCTAGGCATTACGTTTAACCGTTTGGCTACAGAGGCGGTCAAGTTTACGCAAATATTATATATATAAAATAAAATATTTGTAATTGCGTTAAACGCGAAATGCTATGATCAAACTACTACGTTTCAAACTGTTAAAAGAGAAATATTGTCAGTACTTTTTCGCAAGGTAAACTTAGTTTTAATTCATTTTAACTACGACTTTTAGGATACTTTGCAGCACACAGGTACACAGGTAAAAGAACATGTCGGATATCCCTAATGTCTTTTCTTATATATTTCGTGATTTAAATCGTTAACAGTGTTTTATGTAACCTTAGTAAATTGCGAGCTAAAAAGCAATTTTTAAGCCATAAGATAATTTAATAAAATACATTTCTAGTCAAGTTTCATTTTAATTGGCAAAACCCACTTCGGTCCTGAGGGAGAAGTTCCTATTATTTAAAATGAGGACTACAATGCCTTCGATAATACGGAGACAATTGTGCTCGACTTAGAATACAGGAGTACTTATTTCTCTTGTTATTTCTATGATTAGTCTGTGTAGTTGATTGATTATTATTACTTTTTGACTAGTAGAAGACCTGCGGCTTCGCGTGGAGAAAGGCACATATAAAAACATCAGAGTTACAAATATCCAATGCTAAAATAGGTCTCGTTAGATGTTAGACGACTGGAGTATTTCACCATCAAGTAAACGTCATGCGTGTTTGTCTTTCTATCATAAAAAAAAACACAACGCTAAGTCTTTTCTGTAGAGGAATTTATAAATGTCTCATGGATTACAACGGATACTAAGAACGACGAGAGGAGAAGAGTCAGTAATTTCAGTTTCTTTTTTTAACTTAAAGATTTATATCTAAGTGTAATATTTATAAAAAATGTATATCGTAATAGAAGTACATATTTCCATTTCTAATCTTATCCTGTCCCCTGATGTTACTTGCACATTTTCAAACATATCAAATAAGTAAATAAGCCAGCAGTTGATTTTAATATAGACAGACATGTCCGCTTGCACGTGACGTTTCAATCTCAAACGAAGTAAGCCAGCTATTAATTTGAATGGGAGAAGGACAAACCTCTCGGAGACGGTGCGTGTATTGACAGACGAATAACGCAATTATAAACGGTAGGACGTGAGGTCAATTTCAATATGCCCATTCATCTTGTTGGATCAGTCGATGGAGACGAGAATCTATATCCACAGAACACTGAATAAACCAGGAGTTCCATCACAATCTACGCATAACAGTGTATTTAAAGCTCTGTCGCTCGCTCTTCCTGCAAAGTGTGACCACTATGGGGTATAAATTAATAAAAATATAATTCGTTTATTGTTAAAAAATGCGAATATCTAAACTTATATAAGTAAACTCATATTTTTTATGATAAAGGACAGAATGGGGTTGATAATCGGTAAAAGAGCCCGGCTGCACAACATTTAAACGACCTGTTTTGGCTTTAGATATTTGTTAAACCACAGACTGAATCCGAATCAAGTCGTGGCACCGTCCACGTTAGTGACCCAGACGCAATGTCGTATTCATACCCCCCTTTTAAAAAAGTAAGTATGTATTGTACAATTTTTCTTTAAAAAACTGTTACTGAAGTTTCCGCAATAACTAAGAACATTAATAAAAAACCTGAGTACAAACCGCCCTTAGATAAAATAACAGTTACTTAACAACCGAGAAACACTTAGGCAGATTAAGAGAAGGCTTCTGAGCAATTAACCGATATCGATTTTGTTTCTAAATAGACAATTGTTTTAGTTTCAATTATTATATCCTTGATAATTTCACTTAGGAATTCAGATTTAGGACTTGCCAAAGAAAACATACTGAATCTTAAGCTGTCATTAAGAAAATCATAAAAACAAGTAACTCTTCAATCATACAATCGAAAACTATCAGTAACTTTCACCTGCGCATAATATTACTTGTAAGATCTTCCCAAAGACTTATCTCCATAGCGAACACCAGCTTGTGTATATGAGATCCGCTTCTCTCATCCATTTTCCAATTATATAATAACGTTTTATTTTGTAAAAGTTTACTCAAATTATCTAGACGTGTCTAAGTCTGTTTTGTTTACAGATATCCAGTCTAAACATTCCTTAATAAACGTTCTAACTGTTGATACAACCACGTGACCTATATTCTAAGAGGCTATTAATTAATAAGTGCGGAATCCTCAATAGTCAAGTATCGGTAATGGGGCTAAGGAATTTTGGTTATGCCCCTTAGTATGTCAGAAAACAATTACTTTACGATTTTTTAGTATTCCTATAGCATTCGACGCTTTGAATCGTAAAAGGTCAGGAAAGGAATCATACTAGAAAATAGAAAGTAGAAGTAGAAAAATAGAATAAAAAGATAAATAAAAAAAATGTATAAATATATAGTGACAAAAATTGGGATAATTAATCATCATTATAGTTTTCTGAGGCGTACGCTTCAAAAACGGTTCAAGATACCCAAAAAATATGTATGAGAGAATAATTCGTCTTTAAATCGTGTAAAAAAAAAGTCCGCGACGCCATATGTCTATCTCTTAAGAGTAACTTGCAAGAACGACGGGACGTGTCTAATGACGTAGGTAACAGTTTGCAAAAACAATTTCGAATCCCAAAAATAACGATTCTACGCGGACAAAGCCGCTGACTCAACTAGTTTCTAATAAAATAACACGGTTGCATATAGAAAGCTGTAAAGACATATTGTTTATACCTATTTCTCGCAGAAAAGTATTACTCTCGTGAGATGTATTAATCTTAGCAAAAGTTTTTGTAAGAACACTAAAAATAGTATTTAGGCTGAGCGTTAGAGTTTGTCCGATGGTCAAAAGTTTGAATTCCCTAATCGCAAAGTAGTAAGCACTTTCGTCCCGCTATAGCTATTGAAACTTCTGATACTACTATACTAGATAGTAAAATTAAATAAAACAGCCAGCACGTCTAAAATATCTAACAAGAAGAACTTTTCTAACCTAACATAGTCTTTATTACTTTTGATTAACTTGTTACATTTCAGTCACTAATATTAAAACAAAATGAAAAAACTTCATTGCAAACCAGCAAATTAAACTATTTATATCTATACTAATATATAAAGCTGAAAAGTTTGTTTGTTTGTTTGAACGCGCTAATTTCAGAATGATTCCTCTTTAAATGATCAAAATAAAGTCCGCGACAGTAAGTTTATATCGATCTAATAAGATTAACTTACTCGAACGAAGGGCGGATGAAGTAGTAGGTAAAAGCTTAAATTTATAGAGTTGAACAGGAGATTTCCAAAACAGACTCGATGCCCAAAATATTCTACGCGCACGAAGTCGCTGACTCAGCTAGTAATTTAAATATTTACCACATAGATTATGTAAGACACCTTCTAATCGTCGTAAATGGTGGTTTCAAGTTCGAGTAGTAACCGCAATTATTAAATGGTGGAAATTTAAATTATAAGAAGTGTGAAAAATTAATAAACGTCCTAATACTTAATTAATTTATAATTCCTTTTTTTAGTAAAATTTTATAATAGGACAATATTCTTGGTATGGGCCGAGGAAGGGACGACAAAGCGTTGTATAAACAATTTGTAGCTTTTTCTCGTTATTTCTTGTCACGATGTTAAAAAAATTAAGACATATTTGTTCAACCTTGTATTTTGGAGTAGCTAAAATGAAAGCACCCAAAAATGTATAACAAACTCAAACCATACATATATACAATATGTTATAGCTTCCAGAGATAAACATACAATTTATTTTGACATGTCGCAGACTATAAAGTGTCAGCTGTCAACACTAGATTCAATCGCAAAAGTCGGAGTATTATTATGTTTAATCTACTCTAAAATTTTGTTTGCTTCAAATGTACTGTTTACTTTTTAGCTATTCAAGAAATAAAATTTAATATAAAATATTAGACGAACATTGTCACAACTAAAATGCATCATGGTGAATGTTATGAAAGGTGTTCTTGTTGAGTGGTATGTATTAACAACCTAAAATCGTTCTCCTTTATTTATAATACATAGGTCTATCCCATTTATTCTTAAGGTTAAATAAAATAGCACAAATATAATATAAACTTTATAGTGAACAATACTAGTAGGATATTATTTTAAAACTAGGCAATCAACACTAAATGTTTCTGCTCACTAAATAATGTTTAGTACTAAAACAATAACGCTTTTATTAGCAAACAAGATGCCTTCATGTTCTGTTGAAGTTCTAGTGTCAAATTATGCTTACAAATAATTGAATATGGTTATCTAAACAACCACTCAACTACGTTATATTTCCGTTTATTTTTATCTGAGAAAATGAATACAAACTAGTAAATTTTAAGAATAAAAGTATTATACAACTTTTAATCTTCAATATAATCTAATTCAAGTGGTATGTTAAAGTTCTGGTCGATAATTTCATTCTCCATTTGAAAGTTGTTTTTGATGTATGATTTTAATATGTAAATGTTCTCTGTCCATCTGTTTATTGCTGCCTTTAAATCCTGTTAAAGCATATTTGGGTTAAATAATGGTGAAAAGCTTTTGACAATTGATTTCTTTCATAAATATTGTTTTAAGATGAAAGAGTTTATAAGTATCTATTATGCTTTATGTGTAACGCATTTACAAATACCCAACTTACTTGCTTACTTTTAAAAACTCAAACATTAATGTTCAATTTTAAAATGCATATCATTGAATGGTCAAGGAAATAGTTCACTAATTTAGCTTTTTATGTAGAATGACATGGATTGTGCTATAAAAAACTATTGAGAAGTTTACTTTTATCTCCGCTTTCAGCTGTGCAATATAATCAGGATCATTGTCTCTGTATTTTTGGAGTTCCTTTTTCAATGTTACTTCTTGTTTTGTTAGAGATTCAAGAATTGATAGTGTTTCATTTCTTTCTGCATTTGGTTCTCGACTAGCCTAAAATTTAAATGTATACTATTCAGTATAAGACAGACAGACTAGGCTTTTCGTCTAGCTTTAATATTATTATTTAAAGGATGATTTAACTTTGTAAGATCCCGTTGAGGACAGTTGGAAGCATGCAATTTTAAGCCTTATTTAAGTAATACTTACAGATTCTATTGTAACACTTTCCTCAATCTTCTTCATTTTTTTATTAGTTTCATTTAACTCATTTTGTAAATCAAGCAACTTTCTCTTTTTAGTGTTCTGCGCTTTACTAAAAAATTACATAATAATAAAAATAATAATTCCTATGGTTTAGAAATATCTGTTCCTCTGTCTGTTATATAAAGAGTAAAATGAAATCTAATTTTTTTACCTGGGAAATGACCAAAAGTAAACAGATGTACCAATCTTCTCAGTGTCAACTAAGTGGTCATCTACTAAATTCTGTATCACTTCTTTAACAGATTGCATTGTAATTCCTTTTTCTTTTGGAGCAATCTTTTCCAACTCCTGTTGATATAGTAAGCAAGATACACACAAATAAATAATATATACTAATACAGCCTAACAATAATTGTATTTTTCAAAACATTAAATCATCTTAATTTAATAAGTTTAATTATAGTAAGTTCAGATGGACGGAAAATAGAATAGGTTTATATTCCATCTTAAAATAATAATATTGTAATGTGTTTTTTTTTTTCATATAAATAAAAGAAATAATAAGAAAGCCTATTAAAATTACATATTAAACATATGTACTGACTTTTAACTGAAAGAAATCCTTGCTGTTATGAAATATTTCTAACATTCTTATTTTCTTCTCTTCAGCACTAAGTCCTCTTTTCTTAGACATTTTAAAATCTGAAACTAAATCAAGGGATGCATAATAAGTTAAGAAACATCATGTAGTAAATATCAGTCCTATTAGTCTTAACCAATATTTCAAACATTTACAAGAAAAATTATTTTTCCAGCATGATGTGGTATAAATGCATACTCTTCGTCTTAATATTAAGGCAATAAACAAACAATAAGTGATATAAAGTATTTTGTTCATAATTTCAGTGACCCGGCAATGAAACAATTTCTTTTACACCTTGATGAAACATTAGCACTCGGAAGGAAATTTATTCTTCAAGACTTAGATGAAACTCACCTCTTCATATCATCAGACATTGTTGATACCTTACAAGCGAGAGTGGATGATTTAATGGATCAGTTGAGCATACCAGTACATGATAAAGGATTGTAAGAAAATATGGCATCAAGAGAGTCAGGTTACTCATACATACATATTACTCATACCTCTCATACGTAACTCCAGGTTAGGGAGTTAACACCTAATTGAAGGAGTATAATATAATCTTTTAAAATACAAAACTCCTAGATTTAGTTTATGTTTTATTTAACTTTAACTAACAACTTTAGGCCCACAGATATTTGTTTTACTAGACTTGTTTGTAGACTTCTGTTCTATCTATGTGTACAAAACATGTATTAAGTATTAACACTGTAAAAAATTTTCAGGTAGAGTTAAGGATGCAGAGAAGAAGAGAGTGTTGGATGATGTAACACGGAAGAGGAGAGCTCGTAAAGCCATTGAGGCACTTGAACAGGACAATTTCCATGATGACCCACATGCTGACCTGGTTATGTCAAAAAAGGTGCCCAAATTTGCAGACTCAAACGAGAAACCAACAAGAAAGAAAAAGTCGAGAAGTGCAGAATATTACAAGATGAGGTTTAGAAAGACATTTACTCAGCTTGTTGAAGAGGATGCTAGTTTTAGACCAGATCCACCGAATTACCTTTCCGCTCAGGTACCGCCTTCTAGGTATGTTGACCATTGTATACATTGTATTTATCCTAACATGAATGTCTCGTTACTTGATAGTAAAAAGTAGTTTGGTGTAGTCTTTATTATTTGAAATGAATTCACCTTTCAGATTTCCCGATAGACACTTCTGTGCTGTTTGCGGTTTTCCCTCAAATTATACGTGTATTCCGTGCGGAGCGCGTTATTGCTGTGTGAGATGCCTTGGAACGCACTTAGATACGAGATGCCTTAAATGGACTGCTTAAAATAAATTTTAAGAACACACAAATTGTTTTTTGCTTTCTTGTAATTTTTCCTAAGTTACGAAGTATTGCAAAAAGACATTACTCGCAAAGCGTATCATGTAATAGTCCCGCCGTTTTAGCTGTCAATTTAAATGACGTTTAAATTAACGCCACCTATGTTAGTAGGAGAACATTATTGCCATATTGTGCCATCTTTTACTGAATAGTGGAGATTAATATTTTGTCACACTATTTCAGTTAGTTATAGTTTTTATGTAAATTTTTAATGTTATTTTGCACAGTGCTACTTTCAGTCTAAAATTGTGTATTTTGCAGTAGATTTATTTATTTGCTAAAGGTAAAAGTGTTAGCTTGTTGCAGCGCTATCTATTGTTTAATAGCGATACTAAATATTAATATAGATTAAAAATTTTGTGTGCCATAATGTAGATGGAGCGCTTAAATTTTTTTAAATTAATTTATCAGGAAGCCAATATTAAACTGAACTATTAGAGCCGCTGTAATACTATTTTCGATTTATATATTTTTTGCACGAGCTTATTTCAAAATTTCTAACACATTTACCCGAGTTTGATAAATATGTATTTTTTTATATTTAATGTCGTATTTGGGTTTAGTGGTCCGTCGGAATTGTTATTGTACTAACATAATTATAAAAATGTATAGCTGGCTAAATATTTAGACCAAATGACGTCACTCAACCCCTTATACCCTAACGTACAAAGATATTAAATCCCTACGGTGTCACAGTTGTCAATATCACAAAAAGCCTAGTGTTATATATCCCCTCTTAGATAACAGGCACGTGCCGTTATCACCAGCCCCCAGCAGCTGTTTTATAACAGATGCTTCGCGTTTCCTCTGTTATATTAAAACACGACAACGAACATCTTCAGGACGTTTGCTCAAAAATGTCAGAAATTTATACTTTTCGTTAAACCTTGACTGCATAGTATAATGAGTACTAAAGATAGTCTGCTGATATATTTTGAAATTTATGAGTTACTAGCTAACCCGGCAAACGTTGTTTTGCCATATAAATAATTTTACTACAATGGCTATTAAAAAATAAGGGTTGATCGTAGAGGTGAAAATTGAGGATTGTATGTATTTTTGTATGTTGTATCATAAAAAAATAGAAATTAAAAATTTTGTCTAAAAAATAAAAATAAATTTTAGGGGTGGACTACTCCTAACATTTAGGGGGAAGAAAAATAGATATTGGCCGATTCTCCTAGATACCGGATAAGCACAAAAGATTTCATCAAAATCGGTCAAGACGTTTCGGAGGAGTATGGCAACGAAAACTGTGACACGAGAATTTTATATATTACATAAAACTTATACATTGAATAAACGTATAATTAAAAATGTTATTTTTTAATCAGGAGTAGATTTCAGCGGCATTCTCAAAATCTTATTTTGTCCTAATTAAATTGTTTTATTTCTTTGTCAATAATGAGTGAAAGATAATTGAGCTAAAATATAATATTTATTGTTACACCTAACGTAACTATTTAAACATTCCTAGACGGACTATCTCAATGAATGATGAAGGACATGAGATAGATCAAATCCCATCTATAGACTATGATCGACTGAACCCTCCTTGAACGAAACAATTAACCGAAAACATTTTCAGTACTACCTTTTTAATAAGCGTATCGATGAATGGATTAAATGCTTCCCCGACCTTTGAGTCCAGAAACTCTCGCGCATACCGTAAAGACAGCGGGTTAAGGTAGATTCCCATTGATCTAGAGTTTGGCGGAAATTGACATAGAAGTATAGGTAAAGTATAACATATTGGTTTTTAATCGTACGTGTTTGTTCTAATCGACGTGTAAACATGTCCACCCTTCATTAGTGACAATGACAGCTGTGGACACAAATGTTAGGATATCGCAAATGTGACCGATCGCCCCTTACTACAGGGGTTGGAGGAGGTAACTGACATTAGTACGATGCAAAATATTGGCTATGGTTTCTTAGTAATGTTCTCATTAAACATTTTACCTACAGATATTATTTGCAAAAGTTTTTGATGGACATATCATTTCGAATAGACGTTTTATTAGGTGGTTGAAAATTACTCAACAGGTTTTGGGAAACCGATTAATACCTAGTTTTCAGGATATGGTTACATGATAAAATAGACAGCTCGTTAATAATCTTTATATTAAACCATTAATAAGTAGAAAATATTTTTTTACTATATGTTGCATATAAAACTAGGAACTATTTCTATTATACTATTCCAAAATATAAACTAACTATCTTCGATGTATTCTAACATCGAATTTTTATAAGGATTGGATTTAAAAAAATATTTTAAAATACTTATTGCAGCAATGCAATAGACCAAAATGTTGCTTGCGCAAAGTTATTACATTGTCAATCTTTAAACACGTCCTTAGTCGCGTCAAAATTCCTAATAAGCTAATTTTGGCAAATCAGAAATGATTGGATACGAATCGACGATGAATAAAAGAAAATGTACACGATCAACGTTCATTTATTTCTTTTCATTTTTGTTTCACAGAGTTTTGCAGCAATGATGTCAGTACATACCTTTTACGATAAAATAACAATTTTTATAGCGAAAACCTTGGTATTTTCTTCTACAAAATCATCATCTCTATTCTAATTTCAATTTGACTCCATTGCTAACAAATCGTTGTGAGAAATTTACAATTGTCTTTCATTTAGAATTTACATAACAGTTTCCATGTTATATAACTTAACTAATATTTACATTATCACAACATCTGTTCAAGGCATTTGTTAAAGACTTTCGGCACAGCGGTGTTGCTATATTTATATAATAAATGCAAATATATGTAGGTATTGGTAAAAAATAATTGGCTTAAATTATTAGACGATTGGTAAATTATTTATTGCGCAATTAACTATTCTCAAGTATTATAAACAAAAGAGACGTGGACTGAATAGACTTTTGAGATAGTTAATACAGATTATGAAGATGTCGTTTTGACACCACATTCAGGGTCCCAATTCCGCTATTCACGAGATAATGACTGGCTGGCGAGAAACCAGGGACAAATCACAGTAAGGTAATAGACTAATAGAAGAATTGGGTCCTGGTCTATTCTTTTTGGTAACCCGACAGCAGATGAATCATTTAAAAGCCTTAAACATAATATTATTTACACATACACAACTACACTATAAAATATACGCTTCTGTCTTAAAACTACTGACTCATTTTAATAAATATAAAGTTTTAAAGCCAAAATTAAATATACACTTCGTCGTTGGACATTCTCTTAATTAATACTGGGATGGGAATGGTATGTATGGCTAGGGCCTATGCCGACAAAATATAATTACTGAGGTATATTATATGACGCGTGAATAATTATTTTGACGAGACAATAGTGATAATTGAAAAGAAAAGTTTACACATTGTTTAGCGACATTGCCATCTTTTTTTTTATTGGCAACTTGCAGCTCTGGCGGTTTAGATTTCATATAGAAGGGACGTCTTTATAATTAAATCAAAATGTATATATTTGCCTGTTAAAAAGGTATCTATCTGGGCTATACGTGCGTTGTAACAAGACTGAACATGGCAGTGGATTATTAAATATTGAAATATTTCCTTAGCAAATATGACAAAGCTCCCTAGTAGCACCTTTGTTAGTCGGCTCTAGGAATATATTTGTACTGACAGGCACCAGCCACACGAGATTCAAGATAAAGCTCATTAGCAACTACAAGTAGGTTTATTGTCGTCTTTGTACTACTGAGGTACGGACGTGTATACACCAGGACATCCCTTGCGTAAAGACAAGTTACACAATGCACTTAAATGTTCCTCACAATCCATCAAGATTGATTCAAGGGTCATCTTTCTTCTTCCGTAGCTTTCCTTCTGTGTGTATCGTTTGAGTGACCTTCTCGACTGCATCTGAGAGGTCTGCATCTGGTTCTGTCGCCGATGATAGCGCGGAGATGTAGGCACACGCTATCCTTAGTACGGAAAGCTTGGAAAGTTTCTGGTTATGACTGTAAGCGGGGATCGCTTTTCGTAAAGTATCAAATGCGGCGCTTATTGTGTGAACTCGGGTCCTTTCCCTCGCGTTCGCCTCAATCCGTCTCTCCCGCGTCATGTTTTTATAGTTCCTTTGCTCTCTCGGTTTCTTATCTGGGAAATCCATTACGCCAGGATGTGGCGGGACTCTCGGTGGTCCGACCGGCTCAATTATGGGCACAGGAGGTGGTGGAGGTTCTAGTGGTCTTCTTCTTTGCCTGAGCAGACTAGTTTCACTGGTTTTCTTGACTAAAGAGAGAGGTTCACGTTGTGGTTCTTCCGTAAAGGACCAAGGTCGGAAGGGAGATGATGGGTTATCGCTTTCCGGGCTAGTCAAGTCATCTCTTGAACCGAGTCGTAACCTTTTCTTTGGTGGTTGTGATCTTGTTGGTGATCTAGTATGTTTTCTATCTGTTTCCTGTAGTCGGACGCCAGAGTCGTCGGAGTGAGCTGGACCGGAACAGGAGTCGTCATCATCGCCACCAGAGACGAAGCCAGCGTCCCTCTCTAGTATACGTTCTGCAACAAAAGCAAAGAATATATTATACGTAATTCAAGATATAGATTGCGAGTCTTAAAATTATCTATATTGATAGTATCTGTGATGTGTTTATTGGCGTAATATCTTAATATAATATAACTTTACCAGCTAACCAATCAATCAGTTGACTAAATGATGTCATTACTAGATATGAGTTTTTCTGATAGCGTTTGACGTACAGATTGTATGTTGTTTCGAAGACCCACTGATCTAACTATTTTCTCTCAGAAATCGTACCATATTATTATTACTATTGTTTGTATACTATGAGAGTGATATTGTGGTGCTATAAACTACATGCTAATATAGCGTAGTCCAAGAAGTGCTTTAAAGTACTAAATTGTCGAGACGCTGTCACGCAGTTCTATTGACGTATCGGCAATCAGTCGCGTCGTTAACAGAATAATGCGTCCACCGGCCGCGGCGGTTCATCTGTCAGCCGGAAGAACAAAAAGGCAACAGACGCCGCTAGTTATAGCCCGGGTACGCGGAGCGCCTACAAATATAACCTCGTGTAGCCATTAAACTAGCGACGCTTCAGCTTATCAGCTCACGACTTTTCAATGGCTGTCTTAAAATTGTATTGGTCACTAGTAACCCAGGTAGTAAAGACTAGATACCTACTAATACTTATTATTCGTTTTTATGATCGAGGAAGACAGACAAGCAGGTGGTTCACTTAATAAGAGGTGGAATACCCTAGCCATATAACAACTGAACTAGATACGCTGTCAACCAATTTTGGATTTGGATATTTGGAAATCCACAGACTGAAACTGAAACGCTATTAAACTTCATGGTTCTTTTATCTGTGGTTTGTGACCCGGATGCAATTTTGATAGTCGTACCACGCATTGAATGTCCAGTATTATTCGGTAATAAAAATAATCATTCAGTTTTTATTAGATACTATGTGTAAAAGTAATATGAGCCTTTTATTACTTTTACTTGTGACAAACAATGTCTAATTAAAATATCTATTTAGTCTGAAAAAAATAATTGACACGGATCAGCGTTCCGTGCTGGTGTTCTACTCAATTGCTACCTTGTTAAAAATTTCTAATCTAAGGAAAAATTAGAGCACGATTATAAAATTATAACATTGGTATATAATATACAATCGTATTAACTTAGAGATATGAACAATGATAAATTGTAAAAATGTCATAAAGTAATCGCAGTACGTAAACGCAATAAAACCGACTGGACTATTGTTAATGAGCCATTTAATTTAATGACGTCAACCTAATCTACCTAGTAACTAATTTAATTTACTGTAAAAGTCTCAGAACCACGAAAGTAGCCTAGAATAAGGCTAATTTCGTGGCTCCACATTCTCTGTGCATTAAAAATACGTGTAATTATTATTCAGATTCGTTTAAGTTATGGGCCCATTACATCACTGACAATAGACAATTAACTCCAGATGCGCCATTAAAAACCTATAACCATATTAACATCATATTAATACTATCTAATCTAAACGCTCCTTCTATCTATATTACGAAAAGTATCCTACGGAATTTAGCCAAAACGTGATACAAACGAGCTAATAATATTAGTTAATATATATATCTTAATTGATTTGCGATTGTAGAGCAGTTTCGAAAGCGGTTTTTTAATGTGGGCAAAACCGAATAACTTAATATATTCGCCTTTCGTAAAATATTATATTTCAACTGTGATAGAGACTTATTATGCTTGCCGGATATTTCTCCAGTTTTTGTTTTAAACAAGTTTAAATTTGTATGTAAAGACGAAAACTAATTGTCAAATGAATTTCTTTTAAACTATCTGTAAATAGATGATTGGATATATAATTGTTTACTCTACACTTTTCTGCTAAAATTATTCTGAGACTATTCAGAACTTATCTTTTAATAAAATCATAATAGTTTAATTTATACGATATTAAACTAACATAACCGAGAGAAATCTAGTTCCTCTTGAAGACGAGCGTTGCGTAAATCACGTTATTAATCTTTGTAATGGGAGACAAGGTGGTCAGAGCAAGCGCCGGCGCCTCTGTGACGTCACTGCGCCCGCGCATTGCACATGAGGTGGTTTTAAATTACTGCATTTGATGCAAATATGCGCTCTGTGGGAGCTCGGATACTTTGTAGCATTCTTTATCGATCAAAGGTCTTAACCTGCGACACAAAAATGAGAAGTTATAAGAATGACGTGGGAGCATTCTTATATACCTAACTTCTTTGGGAATGTTCTTATTTATGTATAAATGTTTATCTTTATATCTACCTCATATTATTTTTCATATAAAAACAAAATCGATATATAAAACGTCGTAATTAAAAAAATAGCATAGTTTTTTCCGAAAATTAAAGACAAAATAGCACAACATATTCATTAGGTGTTTTTATTGACATTATACAAAATATATAGTCGGATTATATTACTGGTAAAACCTAATTGCAGATAATATGTTTGATTCTGAGTGGGAAACAGGTGTGTTGCCAAATCAGTCTTTGTTTTTTTTTAACAAAAACTATTTGAAAAACTAAAACTTGAGAAGAAAAGAATCGACTTTTCTTTAATTTATTTCACTAGTATTAGAAGTAAATTCGGTAGGTAGGTATTAGGAATTTATGAAGCAAAAAACTTATCAGAAAGAAAAACTGACCTATGGATTAGACTAATACCATAAATAGCGAATAAAAAAATTATTAAAATCACTGAGTGATAAATTTTTAACCATCGGGACTTTGATAATGCGGCATCAAAGTTTTGTACTTACTTTCAAAAAATTTGTATAATGTTATATACAGCGCGCTTTTGAAATCTAACATTTGCACGCGAAATCATAAATTTGACACTATTTTGCCAAGGGGTAGGTATACTATGCAAATAATTTCATTTTTTAACTTTATATTATTTAATAAAATATATATATTAGATTTATTTTATTAATTTTGTCAAATTGATATAAAGTATATAACCTAAAATTAATTATTTTTTATTCTATATCCTACTTATTTACGAATATAAATTTAAATAAACATTTAACGTTTAAAACGCATATATTATTGAAAATATTTTGCCCACTTTCCAGGTTAAGAAATCGGAAGTTAAAAATCATTTTAAATAATTTAACTAATATATTTTAAACTTTTTATTTATCTAACACTTTTATTAAATTTTTAAATAGTTAATCTTTTTTTAGAAGAAAATTTTTTAAAATAATCATTATGTAATTAATTTTTTTTTTATTTTTAAAATTATTATAATAAAATTTTATAAGAAAATTATTTGGAAAAAAAATATTTTTTAATTTTTATCAATCTTTTATTTATATCTGCTTGACTTTATATGGTATATCATCAATCACATTTCCAATTCTAAAGTTTTTCTAGATTAAATAAACTTTAATAAATAAATAGACTAATAGGTAATTGCAAGACTTGCAAACTTGAAACTTTGAAGACCAAACCAAGACCAAGACTGGAGCGCAAGACCAAACCAAGACCGACCAGTTATTGAAGACAACAAGACTGGCTAAGTCTCGTCTTTCTTGTTTGGAACACTAGAAACAGTTTTAAGACTCCATATGGTTTGCTATGTTGTTCTTACACGCTTTGTGTTTTATTAGAATACGGTAGAACATTCTGTTCCCATGGTAACTAGCAGTTCTAAACGACAATATAGAAATGCATGACTGCGCTAGATTAAAATAATCACTTTTGCATAAACTGTCGTTTGTTCTGTTTACTTTTGACATCTGTGATGATATCGTTACATTATAATTTTGACATTTGAAAAGTTGATAAAATGACAGCTAATGTCAATTGTCAAAATAGTTCACTTCAGTTATATCCTTCGAATATGCATTGGCGAGTCAGTTACAAAGCCTAAATAGATCAATACTTTACTAATTTGTTTATTAATTAACACATTTCGATGAATACATTAGATTTGCTATCTTTGCCACACGTACCTAAATTAAAACAATTAAGATAATAATCCAACCTCTTAAAACTCACGTATGAAGTACAATTTGATTATGATCAAGAGATTACTTTATCAGTGTACACATTGGTCTCAAATATGCGGTACTAACGTGACTCTTACGTAAATGAATTAAAAATGTCAAGCAATCGTGACTAGAGAATATTTTTTGATAAGAAAAATTAAACATAACCTTTGTGACACAATAAAGCGAAGTCGGGCGTCAAGCGTGTATCCGTAATGGTCTTAGCTACCGGAATTGCTTTATGGCTCATAATCGTGGGGCCGCGGCGCCAAGGAGGCGTACCGATCACCATACATCACGTAACGGGCTGTTAAACGAAATTCGACCTCAATATCATTCGAATACGAGACTATTAGACGATATAAGTCGTAATCGTAATTTTGTTGAACTATCTTCTCACACTACAGGTGTTTTTTTTACTCAAAGCGATAGAACGGAGCTAAGACCGCCCCGCCTACGTTTGATTGAGGTTTTAATTGCTTTGTGGTTTTACAGAGAATTCCACTGAGATTCCTGTTGGTGTGATGACCCTATTCGTTGCTTTGTAGTATCAAATATCGAAGTGAAGGTGTCAATTTTACTACAGACAAATTAGGCTTCTACTTCTTCTTCGACTACGCTTTCCAGCAAAACGACGATATGTAATAAAACGTATTTTACAAATCATAAAAACTACTTCTATGATTAATAACATACTTTTTATGACATACTTAATATTATGTAATATAGTAGTAGTAGCCAGCGAAATCTTAACCTTATTACCAAGGAGTTAAAATCCAACTGAATTTTAATTATTTATAATTATTTAATAACTACTGTTGCCAATATTAGGTAACCTCGGTCAGTATCTGCATTTGATTTGATTTTTCTTTCATATACTATATGCTATAAAGATATACAGGTCGTATTATGGTCGTAGTAATACATCACAAGCCACACAATAAAATATCTCGAAGGCTTCGTTTTAAGGGCCTCCCTCATTAACTCCAA